CAAAATTGAATTTAGTTTTTGGTGTAACTTTAAAAAAAATGACCTTAGGTACATGAAATTTTCACTGGTTGTTTATATTTGCATTTTCTATATACGATAACATTTTCAAAATATTTTGATTTATTTTGAACTGTTTAGGGACATTTTCATTTTCCATTTTTTTTGTTTTTTTTTCTAGAAATATCAATAAAATTTTATTTGTTGGTTAAAAAAGCTTGAAAATTTAATACAAGGCTCATAATTTTTCAAAGGCAGATGTAAAATATTAAAAATCCTTAGTCACAGTTTTTTTTTATAAGCATTTAAAGTTCAAAAATTGACAAAATATCGAAAAATCACTAAAATTAGCAAATTATTTTGAGTTAGAAATTCGTAAAAATTTTTCTTTTTAAATCTAAGATTTGAAAATGTAATACAAGATTCCTTATAAGATTATCTACCCTTATCAAAAAAAAAATGTATATAAGAAAGTCAAATTAAATTTTTAAGAGCGTTTGAAATTCAAATTTTTACAACATTGAATATTCACTCGATTTCTCATGTAGCGATTTCCTTATTTTGTTGTAATTCAAAAACGAATAATTTTAGATACATGAAAATTTCACTGAATATTTATATTAGCATTTCCTATACACCATACAATTTTGAAAATATTTTGACTCTTTTTGAGCTGTTTATGGACATTTACATCTTTCAATTTTTTTTAGTTTTTTTTCTATAAATATCAATAAAATTTTATCTATTGGGCCAAAAAGTGTAAAAAATTAATACAAGTCTCCTGATATATTGTTACAAGAGCAGTTGAAACATATTAAAAATACATAGGCACAGTTTTTTTTTATAATTATTTAAAGATCGAATTTTGACAAAATTTATCAAAATCTCGAAAATTATAAATCATTGTAATTAATAAATTATAAAATGTTCAGTTTTTATAGCTAAGGATTGCAAATTTAAAACAAAGGTTCTCATAAATAGTTCATACTGTAACCAAAAAATCTAAAAAATATATGAACACAGTTATTTTTTACAGAAATTTTAAATTCAAATTTGGACGAAATTACATATTAAAAAACCTAGAATAACTATTTTAGTTATTTTTTTGTGATTGAATAATGTTATTCGTGAGTACTTGAAACTTCTAAAGTGTGCTATTATATATCTATAATGATAGTATCACGGTATGTTGTTGATGTATAACTATTGTTTGAAGTATGAGAAATATTTCATGAAATATTTCAAATGAAATATTTCATTTTGAAATATTTCACTAAGTTGTGAAATATTTCACAAAAACGTGAAACATTGAAATTTTTTTTAACACAAATAAAAACACAATTTATTTATTTTTTTAACACAATGTTCAGTGTTCTAAATTCTAATGTCAGAATTCAGTAAGTATACAATATACATGTATAATATTGTATACCTACTTGTATCATTTAAACATTAAAATATTTAAAAATTTTGAATACCAATTTAAATGTATAATACCAAAGGTTAGGTATACATACAGGTACCATATAGTGATGAAGGTAATTTATGACAATTATATGTAAATATAAAACTTATTTAAAAATAAAACAAAATATATTAAAATACTGAAATATTTCACGAAATATTTCATTTTTTTAAATTTCATGAAATTTTCAAACACTATGTATAACGCGTTATCAGCACCTAATGGATATTGTGATATGATTAATTTGGAATTTATTATAGGTACCTACTACCTATTATAGGTCAATTTTTTTTCTAATACCATAGATATGTATACAATATTATGTCTTATACCTAGACTGACATACCATCTCCGCTCAGAATCGTTTTTCTTATACAATGATATTATATCATTGAATTCAAATTTAATACTATCCATTATACAGTGACAGACTTGTAACCTACTGTACAGCAGAGCGACACCCACTGGCCACTTGCCCACCTTTTTTATGTTTCCCTTTCTCATTGAAATTTAATTTGCAGTTAATTTTTAGCAAAGGTACCTATGCATTCCAATATTAGATTTGTAATAGTAGGTAAACTATACAAAAAAACATAAGTAACTAATTTAAAACAATTACCCACATAATAATAATAATAAATTAATACTATTCATACATTATAAATACTGAAAAATAATTCATAATGAAATATTTTATTTATTTTATTATTGTGCCTATACACCTTTAATATACAAATTATTTCAATTTTTAATTTACTCATAGCTAATACAATATACCAAAATATAAAAATGTGAAATGTGAAATATAAGTTTTGGTAGTATTTATTTAATTTTAATTTGAAAGCGTTGTTGTAAAAAACTCAAAATTTCAATTAAATTCTAATTCATGCCATAATAATATTATAAAATTAAAATTAATTAATTAAACTCACTGTAGGTACTTTTTAAATAATGTACCTGGACTTTTGGTTGTTATCTTTTTGTGAAGCTCTCGTATATAATTGCCACCTGTATTAAATGATACTATAGCAGTACAGCAGTATATATTCTAGTGGTGTACGACTGTTTTTGAGAAAAATTAATTCGTTTACCGCCTATGTGCTTATTAATGACACTATTAAACTGTTCGCAGATGTTGTTATCAACATCAAGTAATAAACTTTTTGCATTATCAGCAACACGTCTAAGTGCAGTTGTAATTTCTTTCATCAAACCACTTTGCATTACTTCGTCGATCAAATTCAGTTCGTATAACTTTCTTCCAGTGCAAAAATATCGGGCACAATTAGAGTGTTTGCCAAATATATGGTATGGACTATTTAAAATATCCTTTCGCAAATTATATTCAATTTATAATATGTACCACTTTACCTGGTTGTGGCTTAGATTGTCTACATTGAATGATTTCTGTTAATTGTTATAAATGGTTTTTTGAGTACCTACCTATTTCTTTTTTTTATCATACCCAAATTGTTCGATAATTCAAGTAATACGGCCTATTTAAATAGTTTACAGCAAAACTACCTATTATAAAAGTTTTAGAGAAGAATTTTTTCAACAATTGAAATAAGCTCGATTTTTTATATTTTTATTAATAAGTTAAATAATTAATCGATAAAAAGTAAAAAAAAAAAATGTTAATTTACCATGCGATATTGGACGATTGGAATACGATATCAAAAATCGGATTTATTACGATTGTTAAAAAAATTCTCCTCTACCACTTTTATAATAGGTATTTTTACTGTAAACCTCTTCAATAAGCCGTATTATTTGAAGAACAAAAGTAGTTTTTATTTGTATAAAATTCGGATAAGAAGAGTTTGGCCTAGTGAACAAAATATGGTTTCGTAATTCAAGTAATACGGCTTATTGAAGCAGTTAACAGTAAAAATACCTATTATAAAAGTTGGAGAGAAGAATTTTTTTAATAATCGAAATAAGCCCGATTTTTTATATTTTTATTAATGAGTTAAATAATTAATCGATAAAAAGTAAAAAAAAAAAAATTGTTAATTTATCATGCGATATTGGACGATTGGAATACGATATCAAAAATCGGATTCCTTACGATTGTTAAAAAAATTCTCCTCTACAATTTTTATAATAGGTATTTTTATTGCAAACCGATTCAATAAGCCGTATTACACTATTACCTACTTGAAGAACAAAAGTATAGTTTTTATTTGTATAAAATTCGGATACGAATACAAAATATAAAATCGAACCAAATTAAATATTATTTGTCACAAATATAATAATCATTTTCTTATCTGGTTATTTATAAACTATGCACGGGCGGTCGGCTGCGATAGAGAACCTGTTTTGACCACGGTGCGGTACCGCCGTTAATGCGCGCGGGGTGGTGGTATGCACAGCTAGTATCGAACGCTGCCACTGACTACGGGCGCAGCACTTGCCGAGCGTAATTTTCTGCAGTTTTCTTATAAAACATACTTTGCGCGTTCCAATAATATGGGTTACCGAGTGGCTTAATCGTAAAAACACCTATGAACAAAATTAAAGATAATAATATTTTCGAGGGCCCCACGTAGGTTTTTTTCTTTGTTCCAAATATTAAGCTCAGTACATCATTTAAAAATAATGATTTTTTCAACATGTTAAAATGACAGTAACTTTTCAAAAAATTAATTTTTTGAAAAAAGGCTACGTGGGGCCCTCGAAAATATTATTATCTTTAATTTTGTTAATAGGTGTTTATGTCCTAAAACCACTCTGGAGTTCAAAATTTGGAATCTAAGCGAGCATGTTTTTGGTATTGAAAACGCCGGTACTACGTCCTCTTAATTAAAAAAATTATTAAAAATCAGGAAATTAATGAAATTAAAATGTTGAAACGTCAATATTTTCAGAAAAATGAACTCTACAAAATGGCAATCTTCAATATTTTTTTAAATAATTAATTAAAAAAATAATTTTTTTAACTTTTTACCAAAACATAAAAAAAAAATAAAAAATTAGTTATTTGTAGTGCTTACCTCTGTGAGTCTTAATAAGAAAACAGAGTTACGATATCTCTATTATTTCAGGAGATATCGCAATGAGTAAATCCTCTCGGGACACCCTGTATACACAATAACATTTTAAAATGCAAATTTTCACTAAAAGTTAATTTTACCTACTGTATTACCACTATAATGTCCAATAATTAAATAAATTACATTAACTACAATAAAATCATAAAATATACTTAGTAATTGATATGTCATACATAATCTAACAGACCGTCAATTTTGTTAATTCTACTAAAATCAAAACAGCTCTTCTTTCATTTCTTAATAACTGCATTGCCAATATTATATCTAGACACCAGGGCGAACGACAATGTGTCATATAGTAATGACAAGGCAACTATTGTTCAAACGGTTGAAAAATTGAATGTCTCAAACACTAGAAAAAGTGTTAGCGAAAAAAAGATTAAAAAAGTAACAGAGGACAATTATTATTTCATTCGGTGTTTATTAATATATTATAATTTTTACAGGGAAAGTATGGAAAACCACCCATCAAAGGATCGATGTACGCACTCGATGTGCCGGAAGACGGTAATGTCACTTCGGCTCTTTACGTAAAAAAAGTAATAAAGGTCAATTAAAATTTCTTTTAGTATTCATTAATGTATCGTAATTTTTACAGTTAAACTATGGAAAACCGCCCATTAAAAGAACGATGTATATACACGATTTCAAATAAGACAGTAATGTCCTCTGTTCACTGCCTAGAGCTGCAGGGATAAAAAGGAAAAGGGTACAAACTGATGCTGGCGCCAGTACATTTAAAAAAGTAATAAAGATAAATTATTATTTCTTTCAGTATATGTATTTATTAATATAATATATTGTAATTTTAACAGGAAAAGCATGAAAAACTTTCCATTGCTGGTTCAACGTATCAACGTGATGTTGCGGATGACGGTAATAATGTCTCTCCTTAATTCTCGCCGCCCCCTCCCCAACACATCAGGATATGATCCGGTGTGTTTAATTTTGATCCATTGCATGTTTTATGTTTATATTTATGTGCTTTTGAGTGTATTAATGAAACATAGTGTGTATAGATACCAAGTACAAATAATACCTACTCAGAGAGCAGATTACGAATGGAAAATTAAAGATAAATAAATACCAATTTTGAATCAATTACGACTAGTGAATAACCAGTGAATGATATTTACGTATGATATGTACTAGTGAATGATATTTAAGTTACACTTTTATGATTTTAATAATTTAATAGCCATATTTTTAGCGATAACATATAAACACGTCTCAAATAAGTGTAGGTATATCATAAATCGGTTAGTTTATATTATTTATAAGCAAAACCATATAAAATAAAAATACACATAGGCAGTAAATGTATATATATAAAACGTCATTGCAGCATATGAAAATATATATTATGGTATATGGCAGTACTCAATGCTCGTCAATAATATTATGTGGATTTATTAAATCATGATTTTAATTTACAGAATAATAACATGCTCAATTTCACATTGAAAATAATGTTGATAATTATTTAAATTACATATGAAAACTGGGCTGCACAGAGAAAATTTTGGTTATATATTAAAAATTTAAATGTTTTCATTCTGTTTTATTATGCTGTACTTAACTTTTTTGGCTTACTAACCAGTCCTAGTAGTTAGTGATAAATATTAAATTCAATTTTAGTTCTGGAAAATATGATCGGACCTGTGGCATCAGATTTACCATCTAGAGTCGTGAACGATGATATCAAAATATGTAAGCGGAGTAGAACACTGGAAAAGAATGTAAAATTTAAATTATTATTTTATTTTAATATAACATGATGACGTCTTATACTTCTATAATTGACATTGTAGAGTACAATTCAAACTCCAGTACGATATCCGGCTGTAATACAATTTGGAAAATTTGAAGTGGAGACATGTTATTCTTGTACATTCCCGCAGGAGGAGAATGCTGCGAAATTAATATTTTGTGAATTTTGTTTAAAATACACTAAATGTCAATCGATTTTGGAAAGACATATGCGACACTGTTATTGGAGAACACCGCTGGGGACAAAAATCTACCAAAGTGGAGATTTAAGCATTTTTGAAGTAAATTAATTTTACGAAACAATTCATAATAGATAAACTACCTATATAATTTTTTATTTATTTTTTCGAACAGGTTGATGGAAAAGTAAACAAAAGGTATTGCCAAACACTATGTCGATTGGGAAAACTATTTTTGGACCTAAAAACTCTGGACTATGGCGTTGAACCGTTCTTATTTTATATTGTGACGAAAATTGACGGTTTTGTACGTGTATCTTTATAAATTCATTTTAAATTGTAATTTTCGAAGTGAAAACTCCTCTTGGCAGAATCTGCCCTCCGCTCGAATCATGTGACTAAACGCGTTAAAGAATTATTGAGTGACACTAACAAAATATGTAACGCTGTCAATCCAAATTATCTTAATTCTATACATTATATATATTTATGTGTATATGTGTTTTTGTGTGTGTGTGTCTGCGCCCAATTATAAGTCCACCCATTATATAAATTCAAATTTTAGTACAATCCAATAGGTAGTCAAAATGTATTAGTAGAAGTTTTCAATTCTGTCTACCGTCGCAAGACGGTAATTCAATTTTTATTTTTTTTATAGTTGTCTACCATAATTATATTGTAATAATGTTCAATTAAAAACGTTAAGGGCTGTCATTTGGTTGGTTATTTTTCGAAACTAAAACAAAATGAAGAAAATTGTAATGTAGCTTGTATCGTCATCATGCCACAGTATCGAAGACAAGGGTATGGACGAATTCTCATCGAATTCAGTAAGTGAAAACTACATGGCCCTAGTCGTTTTAGCATATATCACGTCTAGTTTATCTTTTCAGGTTATCTTCTATCCAAAATTGAAAAACAACCGGGAACTCCGGAAAAACCCCTTTCCGGCTTGGGTAAAATTACATACAATGCATATTGGAAAGGTGTTATTCTTGAATATTTAGATAAACACAGAGACATTGACAACATATGCATTAACGATGTTAGCAGTGAAACTGGTAATTTAAAAACATTTGATTTGAAACTTTTTAATCAGAATTTTGTGAGACAATCATAACATTAATAAAAATTTTAATTTAGGTTTACTGAGAGAAGATATTATAGACACTTTCCAGTCACTCAACATGGTTGTGGAAGTCTATAAAGAAACTACAATATGTATAGACTGGAACGCTGTAGACATTTATATAAAGAGAACAATTAGATTAAAACAAACTCATATTGACCCAGATCGGTTGAGATGGTCACCACCAAAAAAAACCATAGAATTCATTATGTTCATCTGCAGCTGATGGCCAAGTTAGTTATTCCTGAAAACAAAAAATAACGATTTGAAATTATTATATTTTTTTTTTTAGCATATTTACATCTTGAAGAGCCTCTGAAGTGTGTTCCACGGGCAGTGGGTGGCTAACCATAGTATACTTGCACCGGATACGACGTCACCGATTACAGGTGGCTGTGCACATAATTGGACTTGGCTCGCTGCTGTCCATCATCAACTGCGAGCTGTTTCCGTCCAACACCGGTTAATGTAGCCAATGCGGTCGTGTTGATATCAAGCTCACCGTCACGATGTTCCTGACCCTCAAGATTTATGGTCGACGACGTTGGCATGTACCGCAACTATCTGATATCGTTGCCGTTCGGTCTCACTTTCATAGTCATCTGCTTCCTGTGACTTCACGAAACAAAGGGCAAGGCGGTAGCTGCCGTACAGACCCTGCTCAGGAAGACCGACGATTTGGTGTATACGAAGGCACGCGATCGAGTTAAACTGCTGCTGAAGGTGGAGGCGGATATGGGTGCATGGCGATGACCATTAAATTTGTACGAGTACGAGTCGAGCACCCACACAATAATTTTACGACTTTGGACTCGAGTCTAGTGTGCAGAACGTTACACAGACATATTATACACATAATATACAATACAATATTATAATAGAAGTGGAGGGACGATCTGCAGCAGGAGAAGGACTTGCTCTGCGTTTATATTTTTTGCGACGGGTGCATTCGTCCGAAAATACTGCAGTCGTCGTTTGTCAGAAATATCACTTATTTGTCATTAAAACTCAACGGGTAAGAGGAATTTTTTTGTGGAAGCACTGTGTGTATCGATTTTGTTATACAAACAAATAGTATTCCAGTTTTCAAAAAAGTCAACATAGATTGTAAACCATTATTTTTCTTCAATACTATATTATCATTGTTTATAGTTGCTTATATTTTACACGTGTATATACTGTATATTTTTCAAATAACGATAAAAAAATTATGTAAATTTACCAGCTATATGGACACTTTAATATTAGTTGTAAATAGTATGAAGTATATCAATCAATTTTATTTTATTTTAAATACCTATTGAATGTACATGACATTTGATATACATCTAAGTAAATAGCCTGTTCTGTTATAATTTAAAGTAAAAACTTTTTACATATGTCATTTTTTCTTTACTAATTCATATAATCATAATATTTTAAGTAATTTATTGTCTTTTTCTTTATTTATTATTTACAATTTGTTATTTATAAATTTTTTGCTGAGAGTTATTAATATTTTTCACCGGAATAAGAGCATACTGTAATTATGTTTTATTTGAATAAAAAATTACTATTCTGATAAATGTAAGATTGTTATATTTTTTTTCAACGTTTTGTACGTTGATTTCTGTTGATTAGTGATTACTGAGAAACAAAGGTTAATAACCAAATCATAAATTATTATTTATTATTAAGGTTAAATAAACGGTTACAAATTACTGTTTTATATTCTGCAGGGTGACTTTTTAATTTACAATTCTTATTTTCACAGTTAACTGTCTTGAATACCTGATAAATACAATTATTTTTCCAGTATTAGATTACCTTGTATTATGTTAGTATATTACAAAATATTTTCTAAATATACCTAGGTATCGGCTATATTTAATTAAAGGCATATAGTTATTTATTAATAATAAATATAAATATATAAATATATATTCTGACTTTTAAATACACAAACTATAAAACTATAAACAAATAATGTAATATAATATGGTAAACGGTAATTTTGTACAGTACCTACTTCAATCTGTTGTTTAAAATCTATAACGCGGACACTTTGTACGGTCATTTAAAAATATACATTACAGAACGCTTTGTTATTTGTACTATTTTATACATTTTTATTTTTATTTTTTATTATTTATACACAATATATACCAGCGCATGAACCAGCAGGCACAATAAGAGTATTAGCTATATAAAAAGAAAACATGAACAATTTTAATGATTAAGCCACCAATTGAGATGGCACTTTTGGATTTTATTTTCAATTATATTTCGACATAAGAAATGTATTATAAATATAAATAATACCTAAGTACTAAGTAGTAAACATATATAATGTTAAACTTAAAAAGCCGGCCAAGTGAGAGTCGGACTCGAGCACGAAGGGTTCCGTACCATTATCTAAAATTATGTCTGTTGTCATTTGCGGGGTGGGAAAAAAATTTTGTAACTTAAAACGATTCACTATAATTCTGTATTGAAATTTATAAAACGAATCTTTGTATACAACGTCACTCGTGGTAACTATTTATAAACAAAAATTTCCATCTGAAATCTCAAAATTTCCGTTTTAGCACCCCCCGGGGTTGCTCCTATCCTTTTTTTTAGTATTTGTTGTTATAGCATCCACGGAAATACTTAATCTGTGAAAATTTCAACTTTCTAACTTTCATGGTTCATGAGATACACTGCAGCCTGGCGACAGACGGACGGACAGCCGAGTGAAAGTAATAGGCTTCCGTAGGGAAACGTACGGAACCCTAAAAAATTGCAAATAATTTTATTATGTTTCGGTTAGAAATTGATAAGAATGTTTAATTTTATAGTTAACATTAGACATTTTGATTCCCAACAAGTTTTTCTACCCTTATCGACAAAACAAAGTTCATCCAACAGTTGTACCTATCGTTAATTTTTATGAGAGTTTGATTTTAAATTGTTTACGATATTTGATACTCAACCGTTTTTAATTATTAATTTTGATTATCGATATAATATGTATGATGATAGGATGACACATCGTCTCCGCTCAAAATCATTTTATCATTGAATTCAAATCAAACACATTCATTACAATGATACAGGTACTCCGGGTACTCGACAACAACTACTGTACAGCATAGTGGTACCCACTCACCATTTTTTTTTTATGCTGGTTACATAAATGCAATAATTTATTATTGTCATCGGCTTTAAATTGTTGTCTCTTATAAAGTCTATTGCCACATTCGTCCAAAAACTAGAACTATGTGACGTCCAACGCAAATCGGGCACACGAAAGTGCATTAATTATTATGAGATAAAACATTACAGGTAGGTACATTATGAGCGCAACATGCGATAGGACATTTTATCCCGCGGACCTCAGGTCTCCTCCACCCCTCGATGAGCCACTCATAATTATATTATAATATATTGTTTGAACATTATTGTGTATGAGTGTATGACATTGAAAACACCTACCTACATATATTTTTTAAACGTCAAACATATACGTGGTCAAATCATAATAACTACATATATACCTGCTGGCTGCTGTTACGAATAATGCCGACGACGACGACTCGGGTCTGCTTCAGTGGCGTATTTACGGGGGGGGGGGATATGGGGGAGAGATCCCCCTTGACATTTTTTTCTTGTAAAGTTAAGTTTTCTCATTTTTTGTATTCCTCAATATGATATTACTTTTAAATATGTCTGTTTTATAAATGTTCTAGCCATGGTCATTTTACAGCTCTGATAATATTTATACTATATACACCACTATTAGTCGTTTGCGGCCTATATATCGGACAAAAAATCATATACCTCTATGGTAGTATGGTGTAAGTGCTGTATTTTTTACTTTTCTGGGAATTATTTTTCATGCATGATTGTTAATAACAAACGCTATAAACTGTTGGTAAATAAAACAAAATTACCATGAAAACCATAGATTTACCCCGTAGGCCCTGGCAGTCCCTTTAATCAAAAAATAACTTGAACTAATTTAAGTTTATTTTTTTGATAATTAATTTTTAATTTTGTATTAAATAATTTTAATGTAACATAATTGTATACAATTTTTTATGAGTAATTGATTAGTTTCCATGTTTTTTTAATAAACTAATTATTATTTTTTTAGAAATTACGACTAAACATTTATTTGAAAATGAAGATATCACTAAGTCATTCGTTGAATGTATTTCTACATATCCTGTTGAGATATCGAATTGTAATAGTGATGTTTTATTTATTGGAAATGAAAATAATTTTGATTTCAAAAGTATATCAATCTTAATAAAGTAAGTGTTGCTTATTTAACACTACAATTATGTAATAGTTTTATTTTTTTTTTTGATGTTAATTTACATACATTTATTTGGTTCAATATGTATACAATATACATACACTATTGGTAATAATTAAATCGTATATTTTACAGTGCTAATGATGATTATGTAGTTTGAGGATCTACTGAACTTTTACGATCCTTCATTTTCACCTACTCGTGTTACAATTTTTAACCATCATGAAAACCAAAAGAATATTGTTGTCGGTCCCACTACATATTTGTTAAAGTATGTACTTTAGATAAATATTTTGCAATTGTTTTTATTTATTATCTTAATTACAATTTAGATATAATAATGATAATATATTTTGTAATACTATTTATTTTTTAGTTCAGTCGAGAACACTTATTAGTTATTATGATATTGTGGCTAATGACTTAAATGCATTAAACAATATTTCTCCATCAGCAGCTATTTACACTAACCATGATAGTAATTATTATCCCACTAAAAACACAGAAACTAGTCACGGTGAACAAAATAGACCTGTTCGTAAAAAGTTTGTACTATATTAATTATTATTTAGTAATTCTATAATAATAAATTCTTAAAAATATTATTTCTAATCACGGTTTTTTTTTTGTCTATGTTATTTAGTTTTACAGGAAGTGAAAACGAGGAGAACTCGAAAAATTCGTCATTGAACAAGAGCAGTGGCGTGGTGAATGGGGTTTTATGAAGCCTAGGCGTCATGGTGAATTTTGTGTGTGTGTGTGGGGGGGGGGTGGTAGGTACATTATAGTAATCAATCACATACAACAAAAATTAAAATATTTACAGTCAAATAATAATTATATGTACTAAATATTCCATTAAGGTGATAAAGGGGGGTAGGTACTGAAATATATGCTGGGCATCAAGATTTAACCACAGTATACCTTTACTTTACAATAGGTAAATAGCTTATAAATTATTATTGCATCTATATTTTTGTTGATGTTTAGATTCTTGGTTAAAATTCATAACTCATATGCAGGGCTTGTAAGTTCATGCATTTTATATATCAATCTTACTAAGGTGTATTTAATGCTAGATGAAATAGAAATTAATTTCAATGGTTATACGATGGTTAAGTATGTGAAGTTTAATAGGTTTATTCACATGTATTCATAGGTTTTTATATTTTTTATTACAGAGCTCAAACTAATATTTCCAGAATATTAGACAGAAAAAACTATTCAAAATAAGTAGCTCATTAAAGCAAAACTATTCATAGGGCATGTCTGTTTAGAGGAGTAAGATAAACAATATAAAATAATTTTTAATAATTTACAGCAACACTGGTACCACTCTGAGCATGACTAGTAAATCATCGAAGAGGTAAAATCTTTTAATATTGAATTATTTAAATAATAATTAGGTAGGTATTCAGATATTTTTTACAACTTTATATTTTCAGAAAATTACAACGATGAGTTTGAAGAAAAATAACAGACAAATAAAGGATTTTGAGACGTTACAGTCGATGATTTAAACTCACCCAGAAAAGCCTTAGAAACTTAATAATGTCTAATTCACATACACTTATATTATAACTTATAAGTATATTACTCAAGTTCCGATTTTAAATGTTTGCCAAAGCCATAACAGTGGTTTATCGTTTTTAGTTCATACAGTGGATTAGACTTACTATGGTTTTCAAAACTGAAATATATGATATACCACATACAAGACACTATTAAGTTGAGCAAATGTGTTGACAATTTTCAGACGTTGACTTTCTTGAAGATAATTATACACATACCATATTGGAGCGAGTCATGAAACTTAAAGGTGAGAATATTGTTAATAGGTTTTTATTTTAAAGCTATTTTACTGTACTATTTTACTAACTAACATGCCCACCTGTTCACGGGACATACATTGTATAATATGTAATTATGTGCGTGGACATAAATTTGTATATCGAAAGGGCTCAGCCCGTTTAGTCAAAATAAATTAATAAATAAATAATTATATCATTCAGTATTAAAATATCCATAACGTGTTTTAAAAATAAAATACAAATAAATGCTGAGTGCTTCTCTATAAGGTACCTTGAAAAATATCTTTGCTTTTAAGTTTGATTATAATATTATGTCATATAACTCTAATATTAAAGCTAACATTCCATAACTGGATTTGCTGTACTCACACTTGCATGTTGCTCGTTATTCAATGAGAGAAACAATTGGTGCACTGACATATTTTTAACAAAGTTTTAATTTTTTAAGGCAATACAATTTACCTGAGGAACAACCCAATTTCAATAACACAAAGGGCCTCAACATATTTAAATTGCAAAGAAACACATAACTAGTTTAGACTTCAGTATATTTTCTGAAAGGAAAATGAATCTAGTTGGATGACAGGTAAAAATTTAAAATTCCCAGGTGCTTTCAAATACATTGGAAAAAACATTTCTTTTTTTGCATTTTCTGTACACCATACAATTTTTAAAACAATTTAACTTGTTTTGAGCTAACTATTAGGGATAAGACATTTTGGTGGAATTACATTGAAATTATTAGTTTTCTTTATTTACTATAATTTTAACAAATCCCATACCTAATTGATAAAAACTATGATACTATATGGTTATCAACTATACATTTTTGTTTATTTAGAAACAAAAAGTTATTTTAGAACTCGTCACTATTGATTTGATTGTTATGACAATTGGGTCTGTAATTTGGGACATTGCGAGTAAGTGGCAAGTTGATACAAAATAAAGTTCTATTGAAGTGTGTGAACATTTCGAACACCTAAAATTTCATATAGATACAAACTAATAAGTTGTACACACCTTAATTATCGGCGTAGGTTACTATGAATTGTTTATTTTAAATATAAAATTACATTTATTTTTAACTAAATTTTCACAGTAAGTTGAGAAATACCTACTAGAGAATACAAATTTATTAATTTATTATAAAAGATTTATTCTTCAATTTACATGATTATAATATTAAGTAAATATAAGAAACTAATATCTAAAATAATGTATTATATTTTAGAAAATTGGGTCGTGAATATGGATCTATATTATTTTATACTACTAGTATTTTACTTCAACATATCCAAAGAGATTCAGCTTTAAATTATTTCTCACATAATATTATCATTGATGAAATACACGAACGTGACACCATTAGTGATTTTACATAAACTATAAATTTGGAATTTATTATAGGTCAATTTTTTTTTTAATACCATAGATATGTATATAATATGTCTTAAACCTAGACTACTTAAATGAAGTATCCGCAATTCGAGGATTTAGAGACTTTAAAGACTTGAAAGATTCCTCAAAAATACCAACATTAAATCCACTTTTAACTGCAATTTCAACTATTGCTGTGTCTTCATCTGAATGTGAAAGATCATTTAGTTCCATGAACAACATAATAACTCCTAAAAGAAACGTACTAACTTCTGAACACATAGCATCATTAGTGTTTATTAGTTGTGTTGGACCACCTGTTCAATTGTTTAAACCAGACCACTATGTAAAAAGTTGGATTAAAACGGGTAAAAGAAGTGCAGAAGAAACAAGATGTCCAAAACGAGACGAACATGACATAGATCATTCATATAAACATTTATGGGCATATTTAAATTTATAAAACAAATAACAATTATTATTAGGTATTTTACAATATTTTATTTTTTATTTTTAAATAAAAAGGAATATTTGTTTATTGCTGTATGGTGTAAAATGTCATTGTAGCGGGAGGGGGACATATGATACCACTTAACGGTAAGACATTTAAATGTTCGGGAACGCACATATCTTTTATACTTTTGCATCCCCCTTCTATTTTTTTTCCAATTCAACCACTGTGTGACACCATTAGTGATTTTACATTAACTATTCTCAAGAGCATCATACCTGTTGTAATTATATGCATATTATGTTTATTACTATGCAGTATGCACAGTATTTTATTTAAATTGTACTAATTTTTTTTTTTGTATTGTAAATCCAGAGACCTGATTTTGAAGTTATATTAATGAGCTCAACATTAAATGCTGCAGCATTTTCCAAGTATTACAATGAACCAACACAAAGATCTCGCAAAATTAAACCTGGTGATCCATTCACTGAATTTGTAATTCCTTATGTAAAGTAAGTATGCATGTAAAAGATATATTAAGAAATATTTACTTACATATTGTTAACAAATAATCAATGTAATATTCAAATAACAAAATCTTTTGTAGTGAAATAAAGAGATTGCAAAAATATGCTTTTGCAATATTGAATTGGTTGGAAAATCCAATGTCTGAAGATACAGATTACAAATTGACAAGGCTGGGCAAGTTAACTATTTTTTTTAACTCGTTAAGTTAAGTTAATATGGAAAAATGTAAGTTAAGTTTAAAGTTAAAAGTTAACTTCATTTTTTTTTTAACTTGTAAAAGTTACAAGTTAATTAGAAAATAAAAGTAACTCATATACTACATTTGTAACAATAAAGATGATGATGCAATACTTGTGTTTCTTATTGGATGGGATCAAATATATATGCCAGATTCGTTCTTGTCGTTCTTTTACGAGATTAATATTCAATAGATCTACAAACTCAATTTATGAGAGAATCTGCATAAAAAGATGAATTTCGGTCATTAATACCAGAAATGCTTGACTTTAAGGTTAACTATAATTAAAATATTTTTTATATGAAAAAATAATTAAAAATATATTATTTATTAGAAAATGTTTGCTGAAACTAAAGCTGATAGTCCAGCAATAGATTTGAAACTACGTAGAATGGCAGCACAAGAAGCTCAGCAACATGTAGGTACTGTATTTATGAGCATATATACCAGATTCGTTCTTGTCTCTTGGATGTAAGTTTGCTTCTACTACCTATATAATTTTTTATGTTCATAGATATCTTCTAAATTCTAATAACAATTTAAAAATATAATATATTGTTTGAGCGTCATTAAGATATACATTTGTTTAAAATTATATAATACATATTTTGCCATGTTGGCTTAAATATTGGAGTTATTTTACCCATTATTAAACTTAACATAAATGCAATAATATTACTGTACTTATTATTGCATATTTTGTTATAATATTGTCATATGTTTTACTATTATATTGATTTTTATATTAACCTTATGGAAGTAGACTAAAAGTGTATTGCATGAATGCAAACATGTTGCACAGGGTGCATGCTATACCCAAGAATACCAAAATTACATTTAAAAATCTATGTCTTTTAGTAATTATAATATAAGATAGTAAAAATACACCAAAATGTAATTTAATAACAAAATTAAAATAATTTGTCATGTTTTAGATTAGTTGAATAATCATCTTCTGAAGAATCATAATCAGAAAAGACACCAATCAAAATAGATAAAAAGTTTACCAGAAAAAACAAAGAAATCCCAAAAATTGGTTACAATCATTCAATAAAGATTTGACTGAAAAAGGACTTGAACATGTAATTAAGACAGGCAAAATATTTCCAGCCAAAATTGTAAACTTTCTAAGGTCTTGTAATAGATGTGCATATAGTTGTTTAGTTAATTTTGATCGAGATTAAAATATAATAAGTATTAACGATTTATACTATAGTCTCAGCAGAAAAGATAAAATTGGATTTATACTTAACTATAAATCCTTAATTACTTCAAAAAGTAAAAATAAATCAGAGGACAAAATTTTACCAGTATAATTTCTACAAAACTGATAAAATATTGATTAGAGTCTGCAAAATATTATTCTTAAACTTATTATGTATTAGCGAAAGGTTATTTAATGAACCCACTATCATTAACTCCACCTGATAAAAAGCGAGGCAAGAATACAACTTGTCATATTAAAGCAGAGGACAAACAATATACCATAGACCATTATATCTAGTTACTGTTAAGTAGTGGATAGTTAAGTAGTGGATAATGCATATTCACAGATTAAAAAACATATAAAAAACAATAGATATTTGGTCACCATTGTCATTAGTTAGATCTTTACTAGAAGTCAACTCAAAAAAACCTTTTATTGTCTTACAGATGTCTCTAAATAAGTTTAAAGACTATAATAAAGTGTCAAAACTATATAACTTTAGCCAAATGCCATTTTTTAAAATTTGTTATTTACTCTTTAATCAACATTTGTCTACCATAAACATATACTAAAATGTAATACAAATGTATGTTGATGCTTTGGCCGATGCTTTATACACAATTTGAGCCGTTCACACAAATGCATTTTTTTTTAAGTTCAAAACATTTACTAGTAACTGAGTAAATTATTCAAAATATGAATAAGTACTTAATTCTAAAGGATTATTATTTTTTTTAAATAAATGTTAACAATTAGAATACAAAAAGTTGTATTCGAATTATGTCTGAATTTATAAATCAAAACTATTCAGCTAACAGTTAAGAATGAAAAAGTTCTAATTGATGAATATATTTCTTTTTATTTTAAGTTCCTAATTGTAGAACCAATTTATAATAATATGTATTTTATTAATTTTAATACCAACCAATACAGCAAATTATTATTATAATGATGTGAATTAAACTATACAAGTTGCTACATGCCTTTGAACTTTAATTTAAACAAAATGATTTCAAGGAATAAGATATTTTAACTCAAACCTTAAAATTGCTCTCCTGGACAATTTCATAAAAACGATTTAGAACCTTTTCATTCTAGACCCACGAAGCTAATACGAATTAGCAATGAACACACGATTTATCAATAGACCGTTTATGTGCTGAGTGTAAAAGTTCTATGGATTTATCATATTAAGAAATATATTTTATATCATCTATGGCAATCGCCAATTGTCGACATTCGTCCGCGACGATTAACAATTCTAATAATTTTAGTGAAAAAAAAATAATAAGCCATCAATATGGACAGATAGTTCGTTAAGCCGTATATATTATTATGTAAGTTTTAACACGAATTCGCACATTTCGTTATGTTCAGGTAATTTTCATTAAATATTTCGATAATTTCAAGTTACAGTTCGGAACGAGATGAAGATAGCTGTTTCTTCGGTGGCGTTACGTACTGGACGTTTGCATTGTTGATGATGCACTCTAGCTAGGTTTCACCGTGAGAGTCGATGTTTCAGCGTAAGTTTGTTTTCATATTATTTTGGGTTTTACTTTTTATTTTTAGGCATTTTAATAATTAAAAACATAATTTAACGTAATGTTGTAGTAGAAGCTGGGAACTGTAGTAGGTACCTATATTTTATAATTAATAATCCAATAAATGTAATTTTTTGACTTTTTTAAATTTTAATGTAGGTAACATTTATTATGCTTACACAAAACACTTACCTGCAAAATTGAATTTTACACAATTATTGTTGTTTTAACGATAAATGACAATTTTAGTTCCCTATTATGGTGAAAGTATTTAATACAAACAAAAAATTAATGTTCGAAAATACAATTTCCTGTATTATTATTTACTAAATACAAAGAAACTATTAAAAATAAAACTATGATCATTGATTACATACAGAGTACCTATAAATTATATTATGCATGGAACACGAAGGTTTATTTTGACTACCTACCTACTTATCATGTACGCATCAAACACAAAAAAGAAATAATAACAAACAAATTTAAAAATTAAATACACGTCATAGTAAAATCAAAATATTCATCGCTCCGCTCAGAATCTAAAATATAAATTATAGGTACCCGATACGATTAAATTAACATAATATTAAATAATAATTAATAATTTTGTGATCAGCAGTATCTATTCGTAGAAAATGTTAGACTTGGAATTTTACAAATCTAGTTGATATCAATTTTAGGTACTGTAAATTTAATGTACTTAGGTAGGTACTGTATATCTTTATGTTAACTCTAAAATCCAGGAATCACATTTTCATTTAATGATTTTTAAAATACAATATTATGCTTTTATAAAAATATGCTTGTACTTCTGATATATATTCACCATATTAATAAATAATTAAATTAAGAAACAAAAATTATAATTGAAATTCAAAATTATAAACTATTTTGATTTTTGTCATAATATAAAATTTCAACGAACAAATATTGTTCCTTAATACGAAACTCTTTGACATAAAAAGTTGCGTTACCTATATGATATCCGTGGATTCATCTTATTCACGTACCTAGTATAATATCTATCATTTATATTCCATGGCAAATCTCAAATCCATTGCAGAGGACACAGTCGTCATTAAAAATTCCAAAATTTCAATAAGCAAAGCCGATATGAGCAAAAAACTTACTGCGTTCCGTATAATTTTATTTTTCATCAATCACAATATTTTAAGTTCTGTATATTATGGAGATTTTCCTCGTCAGCCTCGCAGTGAACACACGTAACGGATTCAGCCGAAAGAATCGATGTTTAAAGTAAATTTGTTTTCATATTATTTTAGGGCTTAAATTTATTTTAAGAATTAAGATAAATATTTAATGTCACGAAAAAAGTGTTATTGTATACGCATATTTTATAAATTGTTTTTCCAGTCTCCGGTCGTAGAATAATTGTAATTAATAGGTGAAAATGAAAATTGTTTACTTGAAAAAGACATATGTTTTGGTTTAATTTGTAGGAATATATGGTTTAACTGATAATAGTCAT